TTTTTTTTTCCTTCGTCTGTTTTTGATCTCTCACTTTTGGTACTGGAATTTGATATCAAATGATAGCTTATAACGAGACGTCAATCGCAGCAAATTTTTAAGTTGAGTTGATAATTAGTTTCTGAGATATAAGAGGCCAAAGAAGCTCGTATTCATTAACCTTGCTTTATCCTGCAGAAATGCTTGAAATAATTAGTTTACTCATTAAATGTTACTCAAAGAGTATTATCTGACAAACATGAAAGTCCACACATTAAAAAATACATATAATGGTCAATTTTAGGAATCCACGAATACAAAGTAAGATGAATAAATACTTTAAATATTCTACATATGTATATTCTGTTCAATTGTTATTTGTATTTTTTTGCGCTTTAAATTATTATTTAATACTTTACTGTGTCTCTACTCGTTAAAACTGAAAAAGATAAAGAGAATATGAAAGAGTTCTACCATCATTATCTTATTCTTTGTGTATTTTGTTCTTGTAACTTTTATTATTTCAATTCAACTTTCATTTGTCACTGAAGCCGAAATTCCAAGTTTGTATGAAAAATAATAGTAGCAGAAATTGTTTCTTATTTCAGATCCTATCAAAGTTTAAATAAAATTAAATTGGCCATTGCGTAACCCATTAATGTTTCCAATTGACTTTCAAGTCAATTTGGAAATTTATTGTAATATCCTATCATTAACTATCACTTGATGCCAAATTCAGTTCGACAATCAAAATCAGACAATTTTTTGTTTCACTCATCTTCCATCTTGCGGCCGATTCCTCTCGTTGTTTCGCGCGCTCGTCATCGAACGATCGAATCTTTTGTCTAAACTCTGAATTATTCAACGAAGAAAACGTATTCGACGAAAAATGAACGGACAAAAGGGAAGGAAAAGGTGAAACGGAGGGTCGACGCGGTATCGAGAGACGCGCGGAGTTGTGCTTCAAGTGGTGAAACTCGATCGCATGGTGCGACGATCCAAACGAGTACGGAGTGGAACAAAAACGCCAGGGTTCGCCTTTGCGGGAAGAAATTTCCATCCGGCCGGCGCGAATTAATTGCAGCCACTCGTGGCCGGTTACATTGGTAAAAAGCTTTTCGCGAATAGGGTAACCGCGTTCCAGTTATTCACGATATTCCCGGGCGTCACGACGCCTCCATTGAGAACCCATTTATATCTTTGTGCCCGCACGGGTTAAAGGGGTTGAAGCAGGGCGTCAGTGTATGCACGCGTACGGTTGTGCGCGTGCCTGTTTCCCGTTTGCGCATTTCCTAATGCACGCTGGCTGTTGCCGGCTGCGTGGTCGACAATTTATTCGACGCAGCGTGCACGGGCGCGGAAATGAAGTTAACAAATAGGGACATTGTAAATACCGCAGAAACGATTGCAGAAATATCGGCCGCTTCAACTGGTTGGCTATTTTTCCATCGTGAAAATTTATCGTATTGTGCCGGCGTATTGTTTAACGTTTGCAAACAATCGCGAATATTACATAGGGAACTTTATCGACAGTGGGGAACAACGGCCCTTCGTCGCTCGATTATCATCCTCGTACGCTTGTGATTCTTTTTTATCTTCTTTTTTTTATTAGCCCGTTTTATTAGGTCGTTTTAAATTTATTTATTCTTTCACTTGTTTCTTCTTTTCGTGTATTCTCTGATGTTAAACGGTGAAGCAAACAGCAAATAGATCTTGACAAATGGTAACGTTATCCGGCCATGATGTCGCAGAGGCACGCGATGTTGATGTAACTTCTCGATGGAATCGGACACGCGTGAGCTCATCTTCTTTCCTCACTACTTACATATGTAATGTTACGAGCTAATTGCTTCCGGCGTTCATTCGTTAGCCTTATTAGCGGCCGTAATCCCAATTTTGCGATTTACGCGTGCAAAGTGTGTCTCGTTTTTAAGTCTTTCTCCTCCGTTCGTCGTCCCTACTAATTCGATTTGAATCGTCAGGACCAAAGCCAGGTCCTCCCAAAAATCTCACGGTGACGGAGGTCAGTAACGGCTTTCTGATATCCTGGGAAGCCCCCGTGGAACGTAATCATCTCATTCAATACTACACCATCAAATACAAAACGGACGGACCGTGGAAAACGCTCAACAAAGGGCAGATCCGACCCGAGGAAACCAGCTATTTGGGTATGTTTTTCCATGATTCAGCATATCCTTTCCATATAAATAGGCGCCCCGATCGATGAACGAAGCGATTTCACTGTTTCATTGTTTCTGTTTTACGACGACCTGGCGACGAGTACAGTGAAGAATCTGGTTGGTGGTAGGACCTATTATTTCCAAGTGTTCGCCAACTCGGCGACCAACTACGGCGCCAGCGATCAGGTGAAGTTTCCGGTGCCGGCTCGAGTGAAGCACAAGGCGATCACCGCGGGCGTCGTCGGTGGTATACTTTTCTTCATCGTCGCGATCATCCTTAGCATATGCGCGGTGAAGATTTGCAATAAGCGGAAAAGACGAAAACAGGAGAAAGGTAGGGCTGCGTCACGGGGAGACGCGTCAGTCGATCATTCGACTTGTTCCACCGAGTCTGGCCCGCACCTGGGCTCGAGGTTGTCTCGTCGCCTTTTTCAAAAGTTGAAGAGTTCTTTTAGGAAACGTCGTACGTGTCGGAAAAAATTTTGTATTTTTCATCGAAAAATGTTCTACGTGCCAATAGAAGTATTGTAGTGTAATCATTAGAAGATGACGTCACTGGTAAATCTATGTAGAGAGAACTATCACCAAGTTACGAAGTTATCAAGTATTAAAAGATGACATCACTGGTAAATATTTTACTGTAGAAAAAATTGTAAATGTCAATTGGAAAGTACTTTAATTGCTAGACATCAAATCGATATATTTATGCATTGTTATAACACATTCTGTTTGAAAATAAATACATATTTAATATATTCATCATCGTAATGGTTACCGATGAGATTCATTTTTTGTTTATATTTTGTTACGCGATAAATTTTTTAAAGTACGTGTAAGTTGAGTAATTACCAGATTCAAAATAAAGCAAAGAGAATGCAGAGAGCTTAGATAATAAACATAAAGAAATAACATCTTTCAAATATTGAAGCAAACGTTAAAATAAATGATATATGATAATTTAATATCAAAAATGTGAAATGAAAGTCCGAATTATCGGAATTATCCGGAAATGTTGTCCTGTTAATTTCAATATGAAAAGTTCAAATTCAAACGTTAAACTTCTTTCTTCTTGTCGGGAAAGCTCTTGCTGGAAAATTCGACAGTTACAATATTTTCTCTGACAGTCGCAAATAACTCTTCAATTTGTCCTTCGACGTTCGCCTTGGGATTTGCAAGGTTTTCCCCTTTAATTCGTTGGCAAAGGAGACGAGAACGACCCGATAACGCAGGAGCTGGGCGAGCACCTGTGAACCTGAACGTCTTACTCATTTAACATAATCTTGTAACATTGTAGAACTGCTTTCAGCGTATAGTATGGTGGCCTGCCGGGTCACCGACGCCAGGAACGGCGCAGGGCAGGGGCCCCAGGGAACAGTGCCTTTGAAAAAGTGAGTGTCTATCTCCAAAAGA